ATCAAATTTGCATTTTAGAAGAATCAGCTTAGCGAAGTGTGGACTATGGCTTGAGGGGTGGAATGGGAAAGGAGGGAAGGGGGACTAAAGGCAAAAAGACAGGAGGTGACCACATTAATTTGGGCCATAAGTGACGAAGGTCTAAACTTAAGCAGTGGCACTGGAAAGGACAGATTTCAGAGGTGTTTAATAAGTGAAACTGAAAAGTGTTGGTGATCCTTGACAGGTTGTTGGAAACTCAATTAGTTGGGATGATGAATTTATAGGACTGTGATTAGGAAATCAGTAGAGAGAAATAAGGTAAGTAGCAGGTGATATCTTCTGATGGGATGAACCTTGATGGAATAGTAATTTTTAATATGCGGTTGAAACAAGAAGACTACCAGAGAAGTCCAGAATGTGGGACATTCTATAAGAAATTGCATAGCCTGGTCTCATCAACAAGTTAATGTCATAAGAGGGTGAGAGAGGAGAGCATGGGGATGGAGGACTGTTTCAGTTCAAAACAGACCAAAGAAATACAACAACCAAATGCAGTATACAAACTGATCAGATTTTTGTTTGACAACATAGCTATAAAAGATATTTGGAGACAGTTGGAAAAATTTGAATATGGAATGCATTATCGTAGTGAATTTTTCTTAACTTCTTAAAGATGTCAATGATACTGGGATTATGTAGGAGAATGTCCTTATTTTTAAGAGATGCATTTTTAAATTTCATTTAGAAGAATAAACTAGTGAGAATATTGATGGAAATTCTTAAAAACAAGACTAATAAAGTGGCATTAAATAAAATAGTATGGTAACAGCACAAGGCTGGAAACACAAATCATAATAGAATCAATAGAACTAGTCTCAATCACATAAAAGACTAATTAAACACATTATAAATTAGGAGGAAACAAAATCAAGTGCTTTTAGTAAGTTAGAAAAAGTCAATTTAATCTTGGACTTTTAATCACATGCCGAACAAAGGTTATATATAAATATTTTAAATTGTAGAAGAAAATAGAATTGAATATTCACCACACCTCTAGGAAAAGGATTTTCTCCCTCCCTTTTGTCCTTTTAAAGGATATTCCTAAACTTTACAGGATGAGAAGAAATCTTAACAGGTTTGACTACCTAAAAATAAATTAAAATGTACTTTAAAAATGATCTTAAATTGGAAAAGCAAACATCAGCTTTGTGCGGTAGCAGTATCACAACCAATGAGAGTCTTCCAAGTACTGTTACGGCTAATAAGAACTTTCCCAGTACTCCAAGTGGAACTGTATTCAACTTGTATTTCAATGAGATAATAAGGCAAATGCACAGAGATGAATTGACCAAGATTGTTCACTAAAAAATTGATTGTAATAATGAAAAACTGGAAACAACCTAAATGTCTGTAGTTATGGAATTGATTAAATATATTATGGTATAGCTGTACAACAGAATACCAGTCAGTCACTAAAAATGATAATGTAATATTTTTTGAGAGTGAAAGATGCTCACAACTTATTGTTGAGGAAAAACTAAGAGAACAACATTAGGAGTAGTTAACTTTGGGGGCTATAATTTGATTTTTACTTAAACTTTTGTGTATATCCCCCCTTTTTTTCAATAACCATCTATGATTTTAACGATCAAAAGGAAAAGGAGCTGCTTTCATTTTAGAAAAACAAATGCAAACAACTGATAGGAAAATTGTTTGCAGTAATTGTGCCATAGGGTTAAGTTAAAGAGAAAAGCTCATACAAATCTAAGAAGAAAATCTTGAAGATCCCAATAGGGATGAGCATAGAACATGAACAGACAATTCATAACATAGACAATACAGGTGATAAACATGTTGTAAAAATGGCGTGGTGGTGGCATTTGACCTCCTCTAACTTCACGAGGGGAAAGGAGAATCAAGATCAATAGCCCAAGGCCAATTCCTACGAGTCAGAGGTCAGACATGCCTCTATCCTCCAACCTTTTTACCAGTTCTGATACCAATGGTCCCTCCTGCAGCACTCTCTACTTCTCTGCTGAGTTCAGTAATGCACTGCAATGGCCACTTGGAACTCACAGACCATACTCACAGTTACAAGGTTTATTAGGGAAGTAACAGGTTACAGTTCAGGTTCAGGAATACTCAGGATTCAGTTCTTCAATCAGGACAGCCTCTTCTCAGCTGTGCCCACAGGCAGGTCTCTCTGTCTCTGGTCCTCGGTCCCTTAACCTGGCCTCTGCCCTGCTTGGGCAAGTGTTACAAAGCTCTTTTAGCTCTCCTGCCAAGTGCTCAGAGACAACACCCTTCACCAGGAAGCCTCCTGCCCAAAGGCACTCAGCTCTCTTGCTCTGTGGGTTGGCACACCCACTGTAACCACCTTGCTCTGTGGGCCAGGAAGCCCACCACGCCATCTGCTGCTGGTCTCCTTGTTCTGCTGCCTCTGCTGCCACCATTTCTCTGCCGCTGCTTCTCACCATCTCTCGCTGTCTCTGGTGTTACAGCTTTATCTCTCTGTCTTCTGGGTCTAGGGGGTCTCAGTGCAGAGATCGCGGGTCCAATGGGCCTGCTCCACTCCTAGCTCTTTGTTCTTGATGGTAGTAGGTCCCTTTCTGCTCTGGGACTGACTGCTCTTTTATGCCTAGCAAGATAGCAAAACTGACTAATCCCCTCGTTAGGGTTCCATATACCTTATTTGCATAGTCCTCACCCAGTCATTTGGTGGGAGTTACAAAGACTATGGCTAGAAGGGCCGTATTAAGTAATTCACTGTACCGCACATATGGATCATTATTCAGATTCACTTATAATCAAAGAAGTATAAATTTAAATAATGAGGTAACTTTTTTATTGAACTAACAAAAGCTGTTTGCTGTCATTTATAATAAATAAAAATTAATAGTATGAATAATGGTAAATTCATTTGGTACTATTAAAAATTGAAAGGTATGTAGATTATGTTGTAACCTGGAAAAATATAACATTTGACTGAAGTAATTGGGAGTTATGGTTTTTATACTGTGAGTATGAACAGTCAGTTAGGTGTAGGGGGAAGAGCAAGATCCTTCAAGTGAGAAAGATCTGGGTTCAATCCAACTGTGCCATTTAATAACTGTGTCATTCTTGGGCAAATTGCTTAACTTCTCTTAGCTCTGGTTTCTTTTTGTCTAGGAATGAGATACTTACCTCTCTGGTTGTAGATAGTTTTAAATGTATATAAAGCATCTGACAGAAACTAATACATAATGTCCATTCAGTAAGTATTTGTTGAATGAATGAATGGTAGTTGTGGAATGCTATTTATAGGATGTATATGAAAACAGTTTGGAGGATAATACAGCAAAATGATTAGTGGTTATGTTAGGATAAAGGAAATGTGAGCGATTAAAGTTTTTTTTTTTCCATTTTCTACAATTTGGTAACATTACATTTATAATTTTAAAAATTATCTAAACTCACATTTAACCTCTTTCTTCCTTTCTGGATGCTTTATTGTGCTCACTCTTTGAAACACAAAATTTGAGACTTGATTACATTTTTTCTTTCATTCTTCCACTCATCTAAACACCTTGGAGTCAGCCTTGACTCATTTCTTTCTCTGTGTACCAAACATCAAATCTGTCTGCAAATCTTGCTGGCTCTGCCCTTTAGAATATATGCAGAATCCTACCATTCCTCACCACCTCCACCATTACCATTCTGGTCCAAGCCACCATCAGTCTCTCACCTAGAATATTGCGTTAGCCTCCTAATGGTCTCTCTGCTTCCACCCTTGTCCCTTTCCAGTGTATTCTCAAAATAGTAACCAAAGTGAATACAAGCCAGACCATGTCACTTTGCTGCTTAAAACCCTCCAGTTGTTTTTCATTTCATTCAGAGTAAAAACCAAAATACTTAAATTAGCCTACAGACGCCTGTAGATCTGCCCCAACTCCAAACTCACACCTTTCTAACCTTATTTCCTACTGCTTTGCACTTGCTGTTCTCTCTGCCTAAAAACTCTTCCTGCAGATATGCACACGTCTGGCTTTTCCTCTCCCAGGTCTCGGCCCAGTGTCACCCTAGCAGTGAGACAGGTCTTCCTTAACCACCATACCACCCCACTCTCTCCCACCCACACCCCAGGACTCCCAGGTCTCTTCTCTGCTTTATTTTTTCTTTTATTATTTAGTACTATTTGACATACTGTGTATTTTGTCAAATATATACAAGCTTGTCTGTCTTCCCTAATAAAAATAGCTCCATGAAGGCAGGGATTTTTGCCTGTTTTCTTCCTTTTTATATCCGTTGAACCTAGAATAGTGTCTGGCACATAGTAGTTATTCAATAAATACTTATTGAATGAATGACCTTTTAATTGTTTTATAGAATTAAGTCCTATTACTAAAACTAATTTGAAAGGTCTTTGAGGGAGAGTCACATGTCACTTTTATATGCCCCTTGTCCCCCAAGTTTCCTTATATTCAAGCATAGAATACAGCAAGGCAGGTAGGGCACACTATTGATATGTAATCAGTATCTGTTACATCAGATTCCCTCTGCCTCTCAGGCTAGAATTCTACCCAAACTACTTGAAACAGAAGGTAGGCTGCTCTACAGGCAAAATGAATTGATGATTACAGAATCAAAACAGCACTTAACTTTGGTGGGGAGGAGGAAGATATTGACTGTGAAAGGGCACAAGAGGACTCCTGTTAAGGGATGCTGGAAATATTCTCTATCTTCATCTGGGTAGTGGTTCCATGAGTGTATACACGTGTAAAAACCCATTAAGCTGTATAATTAAGATTAGTGTACCTTCAATATTTATTGTACATGGTTATGCATCAGTAAAAAAGATAAAAAAAAGTTTGTTCTATGAGATGTCCAGAGGAATTTAAATAGGTTAAATGATAAATTAAGACGATTGGGAAAGAGTTCTTCATGTTCCCCCTTATTAAGAATTTCGGTTTTGTTATTGAAATTTTTGTTTAGAATTCAAAATTAAGTGAAAGAATTTGTATTTGCTTCGTCTTTTGCAGAGACAGCAGTAGCAGAATTACACAAAAAAATCAAAGAAGCTTTTGAAGTGTTTGACCATGAGTCGAATAATACAGTGGATGTGAGGTTTGGAAATGTTTTCTTTGTTAGAATTCTAAATTCCTGATGTAAAAAAAAAAAAAAATCCATTGCTGTTGAATCAATTCCGACTCATAGTGACCCTACAACTGCTAAAATAGAATGTTCTTTTCTCTTCTTTTTACATTATACCTTGGATTTATTATGCCATTTGCAGTATGTTTTTTCTTGTGCCTTGTAAAAACTCTTTGCTAACTATTGGTTCTTACTCTTCATAATCTAGTGGAAAGAGTAGGCCTGCATTTCCCACTCCAATCTATAGGCTATAAAATCTACAAGGAAAATGAATTGAACTGTAGCATTTTTAGTGCTTGGCGCATAGTTGACACTCAATAAATATTTTGTAAATGAATAGAACTTGCATTTAAAATACATAAATATATATCATCAAGCCATGAGTGGCATATTACAAAGATTAATGTTGCTTAAGCAATGGTATTGTATACTCCCCAATTAAAATACCAGAAAGAACCCAAAGAGAATAAGACAAAAAGAGAAAGACAAGAATACAGGTATTTCTTCTGTGGAGGACTAGGAGACAAAGAATAGCTTGAGACTAAAAAATAGAACAAAACAAAAAACCAATACCAAAAAAACAGAGGGGACTATTACATGAGTCTGACAGAAACTGTAGGATCCACGTCATCTATGTCAAAGAAAGACGAACCATTCTAGGAGGCCAAGCTAAATGAGGGTTATTTGATGGGATCGTAATCCCAAGACTTAAAACCTTGTTCTTTAGGTTTTTACATTGGCATTATTTTTTAGAGACCAGCAAAGCAGTGGGAAGTGATTTTAAAATGGTACTGGAAAGGAACTATTGGATGCTTATAAACCAGTGCCATCACTACCAGTACTAGTCGTGTGACTAAGTGCTTTAAACTGAAGCTAAACTGAATGAACAATATCGGACTTTATTTATGACAGATTGTAACTAAATATATTCTTTACTTATATATGAAGGTACAAGATGTGGCTGCTGGTAGGGAGTGCAGTCAGTTTCATTACTTGATAGTAACACCTTATAGAATTTTGTTTTATACCTCAACTGTGTGGGCCTTACTGCAGTGGATAAGGTGGAGGATAGAGTTCAGTTTGCCTCTCCAGCACCTTAACTGTAGCAGACATTGTGTGAACCTCGGGCGCAGCTATTGCCAAGGGAGTGTGAGAGTTATACGTGGGGCTAGAGCGTTGTACAGCTCCGAGTGGCTCTGTTCACTTCACATTCTATGTGAATGACACCCAGTGGAGCACAGTATCCTTACTGTGAGTATCCTGGCAGGAAAATGAGTGATTGGGGGATAGTGGTGATAGGATTCAGGAGTGAGTGGAGAGCATGCCGCTCTTGCCTCCAATTTGACTAAATATGTGAATGGCATATACGTTGATCTTAGAACTCTCACTGAAGCTGGAGGGTTCTTTTCCTGGGGGCAAAGGAGCGAGATATTGGTAGAGAAATTAGGCAAAGTAAAAGGAAGACCGAAACAAAAACAAAAACAACAACAAACTGATTGCCGTTGAGTCAGTTCCAACTCATGGAGACTGCATGTGTTACAGAATAGAACTGAGCTCCATAGGGCCTTCTTGGCTGTAAACTTTACAGAAGCAGGTCGCCAGGCCTTTCTTCCACAATGCCACTGGGTGGGTGTCTTAAGTTGGGTTCTATAGAGAAGCAAAACCAGTGAAGTGTGTATATATATGCATATATATAGAGAGAGAGATTTATCTCAAGGAAATGGCTTATGCAGTTGTAGAGGCTGGCAAGTTCCAAGTCTTTGGGTCAGGTGTCAGGTGGAGGCTTTTCCTGACTCAGGTAGCTTCAGGGGCTGACAATCCAAGATCAGTAGGTCAGATGGCAGGCTGCTGGCACACAGGCTGCAGAGGCTAACAAATCTCAAGAACCGGAGGTCAAATGGTGATGAGCTGGATGCAGGATCCAGAGCAAGCAAGTGAGCTTTGCCAGAATGTCCATATATATATTGGATGCAGGCCACATCCCTGATGAAACTCCCCTGACAACTGACCAGCTGATCACATCAGATCAGATCATGGAGGATGATGACATCATTACATAACTGCCAAACTACATCATTACATAACTGCCAAACCACTGAGAATCATGGCCCAGCCAAGCTGACACGCAACCTTAACCATCACAGTGGGTTCAAACCATCAACCTTTCCATTAGCAGCCAAGTGCAAACTATTTATACCACCCAGGGATCTAAGAGAAAGACCAGTATGGCTTTATGAGAAAGAAGGGGATGAGAGAAAAGAAACCAACCTTTACTTAAGGCTTGCTGCCTGACAAACTTGTGGTAGCTGTTGGGTACTAGGGGCTTCATGAATTATACCTCATTTTAATCAATGTATTTGTGTGGTAAGAGTTGGCATCTTCATTTTTGGAGATAAGGAGAAGGTAAATAGTTTTGCTCAATGTCACATCAGGGTTTTTTTTTTTTTCTCTCTCTTTTCGAAGGACAATGAATCCATGAGTTTATTATTCGTATCTAGGAGGAAAACTTCTTTAACTCCCATTTTTAACTGGGAAATGAGGAAATGTTTTTATTTCTTGAAACTCATAGTTTTGCTCCTCCTACTCTTTTATTTATTTTATTGTACATTAGGTGAAGGTTTACAGAACAGATAGTTTCTCATTAAACAGTCAGTACACATATTGTTTTATGATATTGGTTAACAACCCCACTACATGTCAACCCTCTCCCTTCTTGACCTTTTTTTTTTTAGAGAAAATATACATAGCCAAAGATACACCATTTCAAAAATTTCTACATGCACAATTCAGTGGCATTGATTACGTTCTTCCAGTTGTGCTGCTATTCTCACTTTAGATGAAGGTTTACAGAACAAAATAGTTTCT